ATTACAAAAGGTTTAGAATGCAGAGGGAGACTTTGAGACATAGCAGTAGACTAATGCACTAGGAAGGAAGTACAGCACTGGTGTCATCCTGGAATGAACTGGCTTAGTGCTCAGGCTCACACTGTCCAGTGCAGGATCTCTGTTGAAGGTGCTACATTCTCAGGTCTGAGCTTCCAATTTTCACACTTTCCCCTAGGTAAGTAAGTCTTACGGGAAAGACAAAATCAGCACATAATTTGGCTGAATTTAGAGTTGGAATAAAGGAATGTCGGTGCTTTTAAGAAGTATTTCTTCTCTGGTATAGAGATGCTTTCTGCAGGACCTATGTGTTTGACATTCACTGGTGTATTCTAGACATGCCAGAAAATGTATGTTTAATTCTATATATGTCATCTGTACTTCTGTACACACAGATTTCTAATACCTTCTCCCTTCAAGTCCTTTAATAACCTTGTCTATAATGTGAAGATTTCAACGAATTCATGTCTGTATCTGTGTGAAGATACAGACAGAAATGATCATATACATTGATTTTTTTACTTTAAAATTTTGCATTTTAAAATGATAATGTTTTCATAACTTTCAAAATTCAAAAGACACAAAAGAATGTATACACTGTAAACCTCTAGGTTCCTTATTTTCATACCAAAAAGCAGCTCATATTACCAGTTTCTTGGATATCTTATCAGGATTAGTTTGTGTATATTCAAAGCAAATTTCTGTACCAGACTTAGTGGCACACACTCACAGCAGTCAGGAGGATCTGGAATTTGAAGCCAGCCTCAGCTACATAGCAAGATCCTATCTCAAAAAAAAAAAAAAAAATCAAAGCAAATCCCTAAACTTTTCACTAGTGGAATCTACCAAGTCTATCCAGTAATTCATGTGTTTGTAATTTTACTGGCCTCTGTCATGGAGAGCCTATGGGCTGAACTGCAGAAGTTCCACATCTGCCACAGCCTGCCACCTGATTTTGTTAGATCCAGGCCATTGCAGTAGGACCAGGTAGCTCATCACTGAACCTCAGCAACTGGTCTAAAAGAATGGTGTCTCTGCAGTTCTTTCTACACTAGCTAGATAAGTCAGGGTTTTAGCATGGTTTTCACATATCTATAATTTATTACTGAAACCACCTTCACTTAAGCTAGAAAACAAAAAGATTGCATCTTTTAAAGCAACAATAGTGTGTTTTCACATTCCATTTGGGCAGGGTCTTGAGAGACAACTTGCTGGTTTATTTGTTATCAGAAAGATGAGCTACAGATCAGCTAGTGCAAAACAAATGTGTTTTTTATAAATATTTTAAATGATAAATTAAAAGCTCATATAGAAAGTCATATGTTTAGTTGTCTTGGTGTATGTTTTACAACTAATTTTTCTTGGAGTGCTTATAGCTGAGAGCTGAATGTTTTGTGGGTCAGCTTTTAAGATTTATTTATATGGCAGGTTGGTAGCTGCACTAAACATTTTTTCCATGTTAGGCTGTAAAATAAATGTGCAAAAAAAATTAGCTTTTTTTCTATGTCAGGAGAATCAGTTTAGAAAATATAATGGAAAAAATGCCATTCATATATAATTTTTAAATGTATATTAACTATGAATAAACTTCAAAAAGTACAAAGTCTGCATGAATAAGCAGTACAAGTCTGAATAAAATAAAACTAGAATAAGTGAAAAACTATATGCCTAAATATAAAGACCATCTTAGCCTATTATGGAGGTACTGGGGTTTGAACTTGGGGCCTTGCACTCGCTAATCAGGTGCTCTGCCACTTGAACCATGTCCACAGCCCTCTTAACTCATTTTGTGTTGCTATAAAAGAATGCTGCAGACTGGGTAATTTAAAATGAATCAAAATTTTGCTGGAGGCTGGGAAGACCAAGATCAAGGAGACAGCATCTAGCAGGACCTTCTTGCTGCATCATAATGTAGTGGAAGTATAACGAGAAGGCCACAGAGAGGCAAAGAGGGCTGAACCTGTCCTTTTTTAAGGAACCAACTTCCAGATAACAGCATTAATGCATTTATGGGAAGAGCCCTCCTGGCCTAATAATCTCTTGGAGTCTTATCACTTAAAACCAGCACAATGGCAATTAAATTTCAACATGAGTTTGGGAGGGCACAAGCATTCAACCTTTAGCAAAACCCATTTTCCCTAAAGTAAGCTATAAATTTAATGTACTTTCAATCAACTTCCCAATAAAATATTTTAAAAACTTGTTTGTCTGAAAAAAATATTGAATAAGAATAGTCTCAAAACTATTAAAAAAAGAAAAAGTAATGATAAAAATATTGCTTTACTGTGTATGAATTAAAAGTATTCTAAAGTTACATTGAAGCAAAGCATTGGGTGCTCACATAGGACATCATAGACAAGAAAAGGAAACAGACTTCAAAATTGAGAAACACATCCAGGGATGTGTAAGAAGTGACTCTGAAAAAGAATAAATTCTGTTATTGGAAGAAATTACTAACTTGGAAAATAACTACAGGTCTTTTTTTCAATTCCATACATTCAAGATGGGTTGATCATTCAGTTTAAGGTACAAAACCATGCAAATAATTTTTTAAAAAAAAAGAATGTAAATGGACATTTCTATAATCTGGTGTGGAGAAACCATAAAGCAGGAGCACAAACTTACTGCCAACAAGGATAAGGGAATTAGCAAAGAAAACTGAACAGAAAATAAAATGCTGCCTTCAATTTATTTTGTTACATGAACAGAAGTAGAAATATCTATCTGCTTTGAGAAAAATAGCAGCATGAATACAGCAATAATTGGCACCTACATTTGGTACAGAGTTAGGGAGTGACAGGGAGTGCTGGAAATTGTGACAAGGAGGAGCCTGTTTGGCATAGGGCCATGGCATGCTTACACTACAGACTGCAAGAACACCACCCACCATCCCAAATCCTGCAACAACATAGCAGCTGGGGGAAGGCCACTTAGCTCCAGGCAGTTTTTGCCATGCAAGAATGAAGCCCAGCATTATCAGATCTTCTGGCCTTTTTCCTTGTGAAGTTGGAAATTGCAGATTTTACATTGAATATACCAAATTTTTAGACCCATTATCTCAATTTTTTAAAAACTTTGTGTAGGCCAAACAAAATACATTTGCAGGCCAGATTCAGACCCTAGGCCTTGAATTCATGATCTTCACTGTATAGTTTGTTTTGGTCTCAAGATTATGTTTATCTCCTTAAATGTGTTGAAATGGTTTCCAACATTTTTTTTTCTTATTCTCCAGATACATTTTTATAACAAAATCTCTGTTTTAGTGAGTTTCATGTTCATTGCCTTTAGGGTCTTGGGCCTTTTTGTAAAGACATTTCCCTATTATCAGTTGTTCTTGAACCAACTTTGGTTCCTTATATTCCTCTAAAATCTGTTTAACCTAGGTTTGGAAATTAACACTTGAAATCTCTTACAGATTTTTTAAATCCCAGTGTAACAACAGTTTCTATCTTTTTCTCATTAACATTTTGGTTGTTTAGTTGGTTGATCGATTTTAGGTCCCCTTGATTTCTTTTTGTTTTAATCCATGTACTTTTGTTTTGACCTTATTAATTCCTTCTTCAAGTTTATTTTGTTTGATTTGTTCTCTTTCTACCGTCTAAAGTTGAATTCTTCACTATTTGTTTTCATTAATTTTTTTAAACTGAAGGTTTTGAGTTTTTCTTTCAGTACAGGCTCTCCCCTTACACATTGTGATTAATTTCTAAATGGTCTGTGATTTGTTTTGATTACTCTTACTTAGACTGAAACCAAAATCATTCAAAAATTTTACTGAGGGTTATGACTTGACCCAGTACTTTTAAGTACACAATTTACCCTACAATTAGTTGATTATTGTACTAAATTTGAGTTTAGAGACTAGTCCTTTGTCAGGTAGGTGCTTTTTAAATTTTTCTTCCAGCCTGTAGCTTCTCTTTATATCCTCTTAATAGGATCTTTCATAAGGCATTTCTTAAAATTTTAATGAAATCTAGTTTATCAATTTTTCCTTTTACAGATCATGCTTCTGTTGTCAGTCTCTCTGGCTAATCCCAGATATTTTCAAATTCTATATTTTTGTCAACTATATGATAGTCTTGCATTTTGTTTGTAAACCAATAATCCATTATTTTGTGTGTATAAGACCAGGAGGCAGAAGTAGGAGGATTGCAGTTTGAGGCCCACCTGGGCAAAGTTAGCTCATGACCCTATCTGGAAAACAAACTAAAAGCAAAAGGAGTGGGAGAGAGTAGTTCAAACTCTCTTGAGTTTGCTTGCCTAGCAAACTCAAAGCCCGAGTTCAGTCCCCAGTACCACTCACTAATCATCATCGTAATTGCTATTGTCATCAAGGTTTCTTATTGATGTCTCATTTTTCAGCACCAATTGTTTAAAAAAAAAAAAGACTATTTTCTCTCCACTGAATTGCTTTTTCACCTTTCTCAAAAATCACTTAGTAGGTCTCTTTCTAGGTCTCAATTCTGGTCCATTGATCTATGCATCTATCCTTTTGTCAATGCCACCCAGTCTTCACTACTGTAACTGTGATAAATTTTTTAATTGGGTAGATTGATTCCCTCTATCTTTATTCTTTTTTCAAAATTGTTTTAGCTATTTTAGTTCCTTACCTTTATTTTTGTTTAAATTTTATAAATTTATCTTTGTCTACAAAAAAACTTAGTGAGATTTTGGTAGGAATTATGTTAAGACTGTGTATCAGTTGGAGGGAATATTTGTACTATGTTGACTCCTCAAATCTATGAACATAGTATTTGTCTGCCTTCATGTGGATGTTACTTCATTTTCTTTAGTCAGCATTTTGTAATTTTCAGTATAAAAGTCCTATATAAGTCCTATTAGGTTTATTCTATATGTTTCTTTTTTTTTTGAACAATTGTGTAAGTTCATTGTATTTTTAATTTCAGTATTCATTATTAATTGATTTTTGTATGTTCTTTTTAATCTTGCAACCTTGCTAAACTCACTAATCCTAGAAGTTTTTTTGGTAGATTCTTCTTATTTTTGTTTTTTTGTTGTTGTTTTTATGTAGACAATGATGTCGGCAAATAGGGGCGGTTTAATTTCTTCCTTTCTGATGTGTATGCCTTTTATTCCCTTTTCTACCTTGTTGCACTGACTAGAACTTCCAGCACTATGTTGAATAAGAGTGGTGAAAGCAGATATCCTGCCATGTTCCCGATCTTAGGGGGGTAAGTATTCAGTCTTTCACCATTAAGAATAATGTTAGCTGTACAGTTTTTGTTGTCATCGTTGTTTAGTTGGATTTTGCTTGTCTTTTGTTGATGTTTTTCCCAAGTTAAGAAAGTTCCCTTAAATTCCTAAATTTCTGGGATTTTTTTTTTTTTTTTTGAGATAGGGTCTCACTATGTTGCCCTGGCTGGCCCAGAACTCAAGAGCCTTCTGCTTCAACCTCCCAAATGCCAGGATTACAGACATGGGCTACCATGCCATTTATGAGAAACTTTAATCATTAAATGTCCAAGTGTTTGGACATTTTTTCTTACTAATTTTCTGTTACAGATTTCTAGTTTGATTCCACTATGTGCAGTAACATAGTCTGTATGACTAAGTTGGTTGAGAATTCATTTTAATGTTGAAGATATGGTTGTTCTTGGAAAGAAAGATGAAAAGATGTGTATTTTGCTATTACTAAGTGGCATGCTCTATAAATTTTTATTAGAGCCCATTGGCTAATTGTGTTGTCAATTTTTTTCTTTAGTCCATTGGCTAATTGTGTTGTCAGTTTTTTTCTTTGTTTCATCAATTATTGAGAGAGGGGTTTGTTTTTGTTTTTTTCTTTGAGACAGAATCTCACTATGTAGCCCAGGATGGCTTTGAACTTGCAATCCCCTACCTCCTGAGTGCTGGGATTACAGATATGCTCCATCACACCCAGTAAGAGAGGGTTTTAAAGTCTCCAAGTATAATTGTAAATTTGTTTAGTTCTCCTTTCAGTTCTATCAGTTTTTCATATATTTTGTAGCTCTTTTTTTATGCACACATATTTAGGATTGCTATGTCACCTTAGTTCATTGATTATTTTATCATTATATAGTGCCCGTTTCTTTCTCTGGTAATTTTATTTGCCCTTGTCTAACATGACTATATCCACTGACTCTTTTGGTTAATGCTTTCCTTTTCAACTTGCCTGTATCATTATTTTTTAAGTGACTTTCATATAAACCACATATTATTGGGACATTTTTTAATCTACTCTGCCAATCCTTGTGTTTTAGTTGCCATATTTAAGCCATTTATAGTTAATGTAATTATTACTATATTAGGGCTTAAGCCTATCATTTTAATTTTCATTTTCTTTTTGTTATCTCTGTATTTTGTTTCTCTGTTACTTGAACATTTATTTATGAAGTCCATTCTGATTTTTTCTGTAGTGTTTTAATTTTAGCTCTTTGTATTGTTTTCTTAGTGATTACTCTAGATATTGTATTATATTTATAGTCTAATGCAGTCATCATTTTCCAGTTCAAGTAAACACTAGAAATCTTTCCTCCCTTAATATCTCTTTACCCTTTCTTATTTTATGACACTTTTCTTTTTTTTTTTTTTTTCATTTTTCTTTTATTATTCATATGTGCATACAAGGCTTGGTTCATTTCTCCCCCCTGCCCCCACCCCCTCCCTTACCACCCACTCCACCCCCTCCCGCTTCCCCCCTCAATACCCCGCAGAAACTATTTTGCCCTTATCTCTAATTTTGTTGTAGAGAGAGTATAAGCAATAATAGGAAGGAACAAGGGGTTTTGCTGGTTGAGATAAGGATAGCTATACAGGGCATTGACTCACATTGATTTCCTGTGCGTGGGTGTTACCTTCTAGGTTAATTCTTTTTGATCTAACCTTTTCTCTAGTTCCTGGTCCCCTTTTCCTATTGGCCTCAGTTGCTTTAAGGTATCTGCTTTAGTTTCTCTGCATTAAGGGCAACAAATGCTAGCTAGTTTTTTAGGTGTCTTACCTATCCTCACCCCTCCCTTGTGTGCTCTCACTTTTATCCTGTGCTCATAGTCCAATCCCCTTGTTGTGTTTGCCCTTGATCTAATGTCCACATATGAGGGAGAACATACGATTTTTGGTATGACACTTTTCTTAAATATTTTATTTGCATATGTCTAGAATTATTTAGACAACTATAATTATTTGTTCAGCCATCAAACATAAGTTATAAAACTAGAAAGAAGAAAATGAAAGTTTATTTGCATTAACTTCTTTTTTCTTTCTTCTTGATGGGTCAGTGTTCCTTTTCTTATGATTTCTTTTTTATTATATTCTTTAGTTATTCTTTCAGAGTAGGCCTGTTGGGCACATTCCTTTTTGTTTTCTTTCATATGAGAATGTCATGTGTGTGTGTGTGTGTGTGTGTGTGTGTGTGTGTGTGAGGACTGGGGTTCAAACTCAGGGCCCCAAACTTGCTAGGCAGGCACTCTACCACTTGAGCCGTTATAGCCCAAGAATGTCTTGATTTCCTATTTCATTCCTGGAGGATTGCTAGATACAAGATTTTGGGTTGATTGCTCTTTTCTTTTAGCACCCGAAAAACATGTCATTTCCTTCTGGCCATTGTTCTTTCTAATGAGAACTCTGTACTTCAAATTACTTTCCCCCAACAATTATACAGTAGACTCTTGGTATCCACAGGTACAAGGTTCCAATAAGACCACCATTAAGAAAAAACAGGAATGCTTCGGATGCATAGAGTTTAAACACAACTGACAATAACATGACACTGACTGAGAACCTCTCCACACTAAATGAGCGGCATAGTGCATACGCAGGAATTTTTTTTTTTTCATTTTGACTGTGCTTGGTCAAAACTGCATGTAATAAATCCACAAATAAGGCAGGCTTACTGTATATATTTCTCTTTAATTGGTTTTAAGATTTTTTTTCCTCTGGCATTAGTTTTCCAGAAGTTTCCTTGATATAGATTTCTTTGGGTTTATTCTGTTTGGAGTTTTCTCAGCTTCTTGAATCTGAAATTTAATTTTGTAAATTTAATTTTGTAAAATTTTGTAAATTTTGAGATTTTTAAAAACCATTTCTTTCAGTGCTTCTTCAGCCCTGCCATCTTCCTCCTTTCATAGAAATTCAGTGACATGAATGTTAAATTTTTAGTTATAGTCCCTGAGGGTCTATTTTTTCCCCTTCAGTCTGTTTCTCTCTGTTGTTCTTATTGGATAGTTTTTATTACTCTTGTCTTTCCAGTCCAGTGATGCTTTCCATTTTCCCTCTCCATTCTGCTGTTAAATCTTTCCACTGAGTTTCTCATTTCAATTATCATTTTTACATTCTAAAATTTCCATTTTGTTCTTTTTATGTCTTTATGCTGAGGCTTTCTTTCCTTTTTCCTTTCTTTTTTTTGGATGCTGAGACTTTCAGTGTTTTACTTGGTTCAAACATACTCATAATTTCTTGTTGAAACATTTTATGATGTCTGCTTTACAGTCTTTGTCATATAATTCCTTTTTTTGTTGTTCTTTTTTTTCTTTTATTCATATGTACATACAATGTTTGGGTCATTTCTCCCCCCTTCCTCCCGCCCCCTCCTTTACTCCCCACCCTGTCAAATAATTCTCATATTCTCTTATCAGCAGTGTCATCAACTGTTGATTGTCCTTTTCATTGTTTGTGATCTTCCTATTTCTTGTTAGGATGATTTTCAGTTGAAACTGGACATTTTGTATATTATAAGACTCTAGATTTTATTTAAATCTCTGTTAACTGGCTTCCTTGCACCACTCTGACAGTTAAAAAAAAAAAAAAGTAGAGGTATAGTGCTACCTTAGTAATGCCAAGTGAAGGTAGAACTCCCGATTCCCCCTGAGCTTCTGTTGAGCCTCCAGCAGGAGGCTCCTCATTATTACTGGGCTCACATGTGAGTTCCAGCCCTCCATAAGGCTTACCCTTTACTCCTTTGCTGGAAGTAATAAAAGTTCTTATTGCCAAGTGGTAGTGAAATCCTGATTGCCCACCAATTCTCCCCAGTCACCAGCCCTGTTGTGAAGTAGAGTCTCCTCATTCTTGGAGAGAGGTAGAAGTCACAAAGGTGGGGCCTCATTACCTGGCAGGATTGACCCAGCTTCCTACTTAGCCTTTTCAGACACTGTCCCAGCAGTATAGCTGGGGGGTACTTTGTTATATCCCAGAAAGGGTGGAAATATAGACCCTTCATTTGATTTTGGCTAGCATGTATAGGGGTATGGCCATAATTTTTTTCTGGAATGTTTAGCTTGAGGTAGAGCATAAAAGTTTTCTGTCATCCCAGGCCACCCTTTTTGTGTTCCTTGGCTAGATAGAACAGGTTTGTTGAGCTTTTTCTGGTGTTCACCTATTAGCATTTCTGGTTTGCCAGCTTTTCCACTCCAAGTCTGGGATATATTAGACAAAAAGAAATCCGTAGGAACTCACCATCACACTGTTCGTTGTATCCCTGTGTCTCTAGATGGTGTCATGTCTTCTTTCCACCTTTTAGAATTTTGTACTTGTTTTATATATATTGTCCAGGGTTTTTAGTTGTGTTTAGCATGAGGAGTAGGGGAATATATGTGTACTCCATCTTTGTAGAATCAGAAGTGAAACTGGCTGTCTCTTGAAAGACAGCAACTCTATTATCTTTTATCATTTGGTGTTTAGCTAATAATGATAGCTAACATTTTTAGGTATACACTATGTGCCCAGGGATTGTTCTAAGTAATTTCATATATTAAGTCATCTCAATTCATATGAAACTCTGTGAAGTAGTTATTCTACTGAACCAGATAAGGAAATTGAAGCACAGAAAAGGTAAGTAACATGCCAAAGTCTCTGGAAAATCCATGATTAAACTCAAGCTGTCTGACTCCACAAACCCACTTTATTACCTGTGGCCTAAGACAAATCTGATAAGTTTTTTTTTCCTTTCCATTGTAATAACTTGATTTTCTTTCTGGTAATTTATCATAGCTTTTCTGTCCTAGGATTCAGAAATTTTACTAGAATATATGTTCATAAGGGTCTTTAGCATATCCTTTAGACCAGAAGGCTTAGGTTTTTCTACTGCTCAATGAAATATTTTTGAAATTTAATTTAAAAATATTCTCTTATCCACCTACTCAAAAAGACTTTTTAGAAGACAGTTGTTTTTTGCTCCATAAAGAACAAAGAAATAAGTTAAAGGGCAAAAATATAGTTGAAG